ATTCGGTGTTTTGACGTGCTGTTATTTAGGTTTAAATGAATCACAGATTAACAGCAAGTTAGCCATAAAGAAATACTGGCATTCGAAAAAAAAATATTAAAAAAGTTTGTCAAAGTGGGATTTGAACCTTTGTATTTGCAAAATTACTTTGGATATCAGAAGTTGCCCCAGTGGCACAGCGGTATGTCTGCAGACTTACAACGCTAAAAACCGGGCTTCGATACCCGTGGTGGGCAGAGCACAGATAGCCCATTGTATAGCTTTGTGTTTAATTACAAACAAACAAGTATGCCAGAAGTTTTACGCACATACAAACGACCTCCGAAATCCAGCGTCTGTAGTTCCGTTTTGACGCTCAATTTACGGAATATAAAATGCTTTCACGTTATAAGAATCTAAGTTATTGTTTTAGTGAATGACTGTTTGCTTATCACCACGAATCACACCTAGCTCATTTGAATATAAATTGAAAGTACAGAAACGCAGGAAGCTAGTTAGAACTTAAAAATAAAATACTCACAATATTCTCTTTAAAAGCTCCAGATCATTATAACAATACAAACATAAAATAAATTATCCAATCTACGCTCCCTTTCTTCATTCTTGTTCGGATTTTTTTTTATTCTTGAAAACAGTTGTCGAAAATGTGTGTTTTATGAAATATTTTTTCCCCATCTTTTGTATTTGTTTTTTGCTCCACAGTGACTCGAGGGCTTATAGCACTAAAAATTGGATTTAGATATCAAGGTGGGAACAGCACAGATATCACATTGTGTAACTTTGCACTTAACAATAAACAAAACAAAAAAGTATTTTAGTGTATCAAGTATTCGGCCAAACCTGATGACTATTAGTGTAATGCTATAAACTGTTTTGTTTTGTTGTTGTTAAGCGCAAAGTTACACAATGGGCTATCTGTGCTGTGCCCACCACGTGTATTGAAACCATTTTTTCGTTATGAGCCTGCAGACTTACCGCCGAGCCACTAAGGGGCATGTAAAAGGAGATTTAAGACAGTCGATTTATGATTAGGGGGAGAAATATGTGAAAGAAAATTCTCATATTTGTTGCTAAGCGCTGATAAAAATACTAACCGCCGTCACTAGGTAACACATATGATGCTAAATATTAAGCTGGGACAGCAATCACTTACAAGATAATTTTTGGACAAGCTTAACGAAGCACAAAATTACCCATTTGCGTGTCTTCTAACCCCACTCTATTTATTTTTCCTTTGTTTTTATCCTTTCTGTATCGATTTGTGAGCGAACTTTCCTAAAGCAGGTGTTTCTTTTAAATACCTTCAACAACTAACTACCTGATTCTTTCCAAGTATCCGTTACAACGTATTACCTTCCAGCTGCAGTATGGAGAGTAAACACATGAAAGTCAGGATTGTGACAAACGATGCATAACATACAAACAGTGAACTATTTGTACAATAAGAGCAAAAATATAATAAAACATATTATTGGACACTCTCTCACGAAGCAAATAAATAATATCCACATAGTAAACTCCTATCCAAAAGCAGGAAAACATAAATTTGTCAACGCTCAGCTCATTATTAGTGGAATAAAGATGTATATGTTTTATTAAATCCTGCTTGTATCAAAAGAAATACAAAAGTGTGTCTATTTTCAATTTACTATTTCTAAAATAAGTATTGCACAGTCCGAGTTCAAGAAAAAATACAGGTTTGTATATCTATTTTGCTGGAACCTCACAGGTTTTTCTCTATTCTTGCTTGCTTGTTTGAAGTTAAGCACAAAGCTATACAACGGGCTATCTGTGCTCTGCCCACCACGAGTATCGAAACCCGATTTCTAGCTTTGTAAGTCCGCAGACATACCGCTGTGCCACTGGGAGGCCTTTTTCTCTATTCAACTATGAAGTTCCAAAACAGTAGATACACACGTTTGTCTACTTTTAGCTGTCATAGTGTTTTTTCCAACACAGTAAATACACAGGTTTATCCATCTAAGCTATAACCTTCCAACCAAATAAGTACACGGGTTTATCGGCATAAGCTACAGAATAAATACACTGTTTGTCTCATATGCCTCATGAATTGGATGTAATTCTGATGTGGGTAAAAATGTCAACTAATAATATATACATATACCAGTAGACTATTTCTCATCAGGGCTCTAACTGATAAACTGGATGTAAATAATCTATATACATGTGTTTCACGTTTTAATCATTTGTCCTTTTGATAATATTTATCTACACAGAAAATTCTATATGAAATTATTGAAGATACAGAAAAAGTGAGATGGAAAAAATTATTCTTTTTTAGCTTTTCTTTGTAAACGTTTTTATGAGTTAAACATTAAATTCTCGTTAGCTTTTTTTTTTCAAGTTCACTGGATAAATTTAGTTTGGTAAATTAAGTTTAACTTTTAAATAAAGTTTCAGGGGTGGAGGTAAAGGGGATTGTGGAAGCTTTGCCCACCCCAAAATTTGCCTTAGTCATAAAAACCAGTGTGTCCAACACGCTTAAAATCTACATATTTTCAGTGGTTCATAAATACAACTTTCCATACTTGGACTTGGTTATAGAAGTTACTCTAAATATTAAGCCAAAGTCATTTGCCTGGTTTTGTTTGTTTGTTAAGCACAAAGTTGCATAATGGGCTTCTGTGCTGTGCCCACTACGGGTATCAAAACCTGGTTTTTAGCGTTATAAGCCTTCAGACTTGTCGCTGAACTATTGGGGAGGGTGCTCATTTACTTGGACTCGGGATTGTAATTTTCGAAAGACCGTTTCTCTACCTTTTTATTAGTGTACTGGGGATTTGAACTAGTCATATTTGACAAATATTGTTGAAATACGATTACACTGACTTTATAATTTTCTTAAATTTGACTAAGATTAATTTTGGTTTTATGACTGAATTTCAGTGAAATTTTAGGAGCCATTGGATTGAGTCACGGTATCGAAATTTTCCATCTGATTTGTCACTTTTCAATGTTTGAAAACCCTTTCTTCTGAGGGTTTCGGAAGACCTTCACGGATGAACGTTAATTCTAATTTTTGCGAGTGGAATCGACATATTACTTTACAATCATAGCGTTTTGTTAGGACATGTGACATATTTTCTCTAAATACATAAACGTGTTTTACTTATTGGTTGGCCCGGCATGGCCAGGTGGATAAGGC